GGTCATCGAACCCAGTCGCTGGAATTCATGGGGGCTGAATGCTGGTTTGAACTGAACGGTGGAGAACAGCGAGGAGAGTGCTGATTTGGGATGACTTAGGGAAGTGGGAGTCTAATAGGGTAGAAGAATAGGGTACGTGCAGCAGTCTGAAGGCCCAGGGCTCCAAGTGGGGCAAAAGGGAACTGAGAGGGTGCCAACAACCTCCTCCGCAAGGTCATGGAAGCCGCCCCATCCTCCTTCACCGGCCCCTCCTCAGCTGGAGGAATAGGCAGCCAGTTGCTATGTATTAACATCAACTCACTGACTTGTCTGGAAAACTGTGTACACAGGAATCGCACGGGGACTGAGGTAGAGAGGAGCAAAGATCGGGGACCTAGAACAGAGAAAGGGATAGATGTGGCCTTATCTAGTAGTCCACCCACAATCCTTCTGGATCCTTCTGCTAGGGCGGGGTGGGGGGCTGTGACCACGATGTCCAAGGAGACCCATCTACTTGTTGAACCCAGAGCCTCCCCATTCACAGAACAGTTTTAAGTGCACGGAAAAGCCTTAAACGCAAGTGTGTTCATAGTCATAGTTTTATTTATTCTTAACCTTTTTTTCCAATTAAATGTTGAGACAAACTAATACACTATTAACATAAAAAGGCTAATTTATTTTTACAATGCCCGTTGAAGGCGCTGACTTTTTCTCCATTCGCAAACGATTTGCTTTGCTCTGTAGGAAAAACCCAAGTTGACTCATCCTGAGTAGAAAGGGCTGCCCATCCTCATCACCCCATTAGGATCCTGACAATAATTCAGCGATCTCCGGGGATAATGAGCAGGCTTTCAAATACCGCCTGGGCCAGTGAGAAACACTATACTTAAGGAATCGTTATAACTGTTCCATGGTTCCCTCAGGCAATTAACCTGTGCTGCTGGCCATAAATTGCCCGGCTTCTATCCCCACAGAGTAAGTATTTGGTCTGTCTGCTCAGAATTATCGTGCACTTTCTTCTTCCCTCCAGGTAGGTCACTCCTTTGTGAACGGTGGGCATCAAACAGCCATTAAAAAGGACTACATGTGTGTAAAATGCAGCTCTTAATATTTCTCTGGAGCATTGAGTCATATTATACAGAATTATAAAATACTATCAGAAAAGGGCACTTTACATATCATAATAGTCATTTTGTAAAGTTCAATTTGGCAATTCTAAGCCACGTTTAATTTTCTCCGAAAATTCCCAGGTGGCAGGAAAATATTGCTCTTTGTGGCTTTCCTGTCTCTTTCAGGGAATGGGTAAAATGACAACCTTTTAGAAGTAGCACTTTCTCTATAAGTAGGCACTAAATTACTTATACCAAATGAAGCCACATATTCATTTACATTAAAATAAATGCTAAAATAATAATAAGTAATTTTCCTATATAACCATTCTGGGATTTGTGCAAATTAGAACTGTACCTTCTACCTTAGTATCACTTAGAATCACTTGTAATTCTTCATCTTCACTGATAGGTGGAGCTAGTAATTTCTGTATTAATTATAATATTTTAGCATATTAAAATCAATATCTAGATGAAGCAGACACTTCAAAGCTTCAAAACTGATGAAACTGCATACTTCTCTTTTCAGGGATAAAACCATCTGCATTAATATGTGAAATACACTATTAACGCACCCCCTGCTGATTGCATGTGCTTTGTAGGGAGTAATGCATAATTTTCTGAAAATGAAAAGACTGAGAATCAGATATTTATGATGATAAAAATTAGATCTCAAGAACTATAAAAACTTGGAAGATTCTCCTAAGATGGAATTTTTTTATTCAGTTCAACAATTATTTAACACATACCAGAGGTACAATATAGTCAGAAGATCTGAGTTTGAGACTTGACTGCACCCTCACTGGCCCTGTAGCAGTGCTCACTGAATATCTTTGTAAACCTGCATGAGGGATTCAAATGAGAATAAAGTGAAGTAACATGGGGCACTTCTTTGTCAATATAGATCATAACCTCACAACTGTTGACTATTTAAGATGGCATGGTATAAGACAATAATTCTCATATTTAGATCTGGGGACACATTCTTGGGAATCCACATTCTCCATGGAAATGTGTTTTTGTTCTTTTTAAAATTTTGTTTGGTTTTTACGCTGGTGTTAATCTTTTAAGAAGTTCATGTGGGCACATTCTGAGCCATCTGAACTTTCTCCTGATTGTTGCTATGCAACCTGTGTATTAAGGATGACATTCGTGCCAAGCAATTCCACTTCAGTTGTTTCCACCCTAATGAAAATAGACCCAAGCAGACTTATTATGTGGCTTCTATGTTCCTTTAAGAGAAAGGCAAGAGGCAATGGCAAGCATTCTGCACAGAGATTTGGTGTTAGTTTGGATCCAGAAAACTGATAAGAAAATTCAATCATTACATGGCACATTGGTACTGAACTTTTTTTTTTTAATTTCAGAGAGGAAGGGAGAGGGAAAAAGAGATAGAAACATTGATGATGAGAGGGACTCATAGATCGACTGCCTCCTGCATGCCCCACACTGGGGATCAAGCCCGAAACCCAGGCATGACGGGGAATTGAACCGTCACCTCCTGGTTCATAGGTCTACGCTCAACCACTGAGCAACACCGGCTGGACAGTACTGAATTTTTCACAAAAGAATCCTGCCAATCAGCATAAAGAGCAGTGATTTAACGTTGTGTATCATTTGTGTTGGTTTGTAGCTTTGCATATACTTATTTTAATTGTGTTTAAGTTAGTCCCATGGAAACTGTAAACTTACAGTTTACTCAGATTTATATCATAGATTTATATAACATTATAAAATTAACATATATTGGTTAAATAATTAACTTAAAATTTTAATACTTGAGGTGTGTGGCCCATGAGATCAGAACTCAGAAAAGAAAAAAAAAAACAGGTTAAATCTTCTCTCTGTATTTTGCTGTGCATCCTGGAAAGTCAAATGCTCTCAGCTCTCTCTCTTCACAGGCAAATAAGGATGATCATGCGATCTTCAGAGGACCGTGGTGAGGACTGAAGGAACAATGACTATCACTGCCAGGGAATGCCTTCTCGGGTAGAGTATGCTTTGGTTACAATAAGAGCTCTGAATCAAGAGTTTAGGCCCTGGCCTACATTTCTATGCCACCTTGGGCAAATCACCTTACCTCTATGGGAGTCATGGCCCAATTTCCTAAAGCTCGGAGGTGTGTCAGATTATCCCACAGTTCCTCCTAAAGTAGCTATCACAGAAGGTGGTTGGGTTTTCCATGTCATGCCCATAGTTACTTGGTTGTCCATTAGCTTTATTTTAAACTTACTACTCTGAGAAGTAAAATAAAAAAATTAAAATTCACTTGTGATCGATGCAGCAACTTGCAACAAGGATTAGAAAAGCTCAATTACCCTATCTATCCGACAGATTTGATATTTCTTTGCTTTGTTGTTTTCTCTGGTATAATGGAGAGACAGGACTCATATTTGAGCCTTCTTTCTGTAGTTGGACGCAGCACCGTAGGCAAATCAAATGACCTCTCTACACTGCCTGCACTGCTTACAATGCAGGCTCTGGACACAGACTTGTGGATTCAAATCCTGAATCCACCACTTGGTAGCTGTGCAGCAGCCTAGGGCAAAACGTTATGTTTTGTGACACTTACTGAAGTAATAGTTGTAAAGCGCTCAGTCTGGGACTTTGGGAAAAGCTCAGTGAATGTTGGCTCTGATTAGTATTATTATGTCCCTTCCCTTTCGTCCTTGGCTTTCCGGTTCTGCGAGTGGAGGCCGAATACTGGAAGCGTGAAGGGGCAATAAGAAAACTGGCGAAAGTAAACAAGGGGTGGCAACCAAGACTCAATGCAAAGCAGACTAATAGCAAGAGCAGCCATCATGCAAGTCGGAGCTTAGATCGGATCTGGGTCCCACAATTTTCTGATTTTGTACATTTCATTAAGTCATGACCTGCGTTTTTGTTTCCTCTGCTCTAAACTCAGGCTAGTAATTATTCTACTTACTTCAGTGTAAAAGTTCAGAAACAAATATTCACTGTACACAAAACACTTCCTAAAGTCTCACGTACTGAACAAGGAAGTTTTTCTCTTTGATGTATACATTTTTTTCCCCTGGTATATAGCTCTTTTTTTTAAATTGATTTAAGGTATTACATATGGGGCGGAAGAGCTGATTCTACTTCTCACCTAGCAAACCGTGCTGACCGCTTTTTAAACCCTCTGGGGGCATGCACCTGCTGGGTGATTATAGAAGCAACAGCCGCCCTGGATTGCAGGTTTACCATATGCCACGCGTTGCACGAGGTTCTGAGCGACCTCTTTCGTTTAGTGCTCACAATTCTAAGGCAGATATTCTGTCCACTTAACAGATGGAAAAACTAAGGCTGAGACAAGTTAGAAACCTGCCATCCGCCCTGTGGTGCAGAGGTCCTATAAACATCTAACCATAAGGCAGAGTTGTTGTCTTTTAATATGTTTTTCATTGATTTCAGAGAGGAAAAGGGGGAGAGAGAAAAACATCAATGATGAGAATCATCCATTGGCTGCCTCCTACACGCCCCGCTACTGGGGTCCTGGGGATCAAGTCCACAATCCCGTGCCCTTGACCAGAATCCAACGCGGGACCGACACGCTACCCACTGAGCCAAACCGGCTAGAGAGTTGTTAGCAACCAACAGTTTTATCTCTGAACACCAGCTTTCCGGCAACTATTAGGAACGTCCACCTACGTCCAGTCAGCCCATGCAGCTTGCTGAGCTCCACGAATCCTTGCATCCCCTCCGCGTCCCTGCCAACGCCCCGCCCACCCCGGAGAGGCGGAAAACAGCGAACCCCTACCTGCACCGCCTTTAGCTGCACACTGCGTCTGCGCGCTGAGAGCGCCCGGATTTCCTGTCCGCGCTCCAGTTCCGCCCGGATACTGCCGACCAATGAGATGAGCCCGGAGGCGGGCCTAAGTACTGCAGGCTCCTCCTCCGCCGGGAGCGTGCCGAGCCGCGGGGGAAGGTCCGCGTGAGGCACATGGCGGCCTCCGGGGCGATCGGCACTTTCCGTCTCCCGCCGTTGCCCACGATTCGAGAAATCATTAAGTTGTTCAAACTGCAAGCGGCGAAGCAGCTCTCCCAGAACTTCCTCCTGGACTTGAGGCTGACAGGTGGATGGCTGCCCCCGCCGAGGGGGCGCGGGGCGCGGGTGTCCGGGGTCAGGCCCAGGCGTACACGCGGCCCGCAGTCAGGCCCTTCCTCCACTTGCTGCTAAAAGACCCCGCGCCCCGCAGACGCGAGCAACGCGTTGTGGCCTCGGACCCCCGCGCTCGGGCGTTTGCGGGCTCTGCGGGCTGGCGGCCGACGCAGCCCCGAGGGGAGCAGGGGCGGTGCGGGCAGGCGGTGTGGGCGGTGGAAATCGGTTGTGTTGACACTGAAATGGGGCTGCACGTGCCGGCTAGGTTACCTTTCCGCGCGAAGTTACCCGAGTTTAGATTTGTGCAGGGTTAGTTTTTTTGTGGGTTGTTTTTTTTTTATCAGTAACTTGTCGCAAAAGAGTGTCAAACGTTTACTTGTTGCGTCTAAGAAGTCCCCGAGGGCGCAAGGACTCCTTGGGGAATGCATATCGAACAAACCTGCAGGTGCTAGAGCCGGAAGTCTAGTGAAAAGGGCCAGGTCTGCCCTCAAGGGGCTGAGGTTTTAGTAAGTTTATGTCCCGCTGCGCAGTGCAAGTCACCCATGCGAGGCGCACAGTTGGATGCGTTTTGCACGTGTGCACATTCGTTTAACCACCACCATTTCCTAGGGATGTTCCCTTCCAAAGGACGAGGCTGCAGGAACCTATGACACATGTGTCCGCTGATGTCACTGCCGGAGCACATTCCGTTTTTGAGGTTTTGATGTTCTATTTGGCTCCTCTTCAGAAGCCGAAAAGATCAGTGCATCCCACCCAAAAAGTTCATTTTCAGTTCAATCAAGTACCGTCCACAAAGCACAACTATGGAGTTCTAATTCTTGGGCTTGGAGCCTTTATTCTGCCACAAGTAAATAGGACTTGGGGTAAAATAGCTTAATTCTGCTTCAGTTTTTTAATCCGTTGATTGAAGGAAGGTCCTACAATAAATAAGACCCATCGCTACAGTTGTTTGGTTCTGGCAGTAACAAGCATCAGCCTTTTCTGCCAGTTATTAGCCACATTCTCGGTATGAAGCACCCTTCTCAGGACCGAAACTGTAGGTCTTTATTATTTTTAAAAGATTTCTTCATTTGTATTTTCTCTTTGAGCCTTTTATTCTCCCCCGGGAGTAAATTCCAGAATCTCGATACTCTTCTATGGGAACCAAAATGAAGGGACATTAAGGTGCTTGCCTGAGGTGAGAGGCTCAGTGTGAGCAGAGAAGACTGAACCCAGGCCTAGTGACTCGCCCGTGCCCCTGTGACGGCATTTGTACTTGAAGAAGGCACTGCCCTGCTCCACTTTTAAGAGTGAGAATATTAATTCACTCCATCATGCCTGTGCTCAATGTATCGCCCCTGTTCCCTCTGGGAGGCAGTGGTCCCTACCGAGCCAGGATCGGCTTTGGAATTTACACCTGGGCTGGAGCCCCCTGCTCTTCCGGGTGGTTTCTAGATGACCTTGTTCAGATACAACAGGCGAGGGAGATGAAAAGCGCAGAGGAGTTGAAGTGGGACAGTGAGGATTTGTCGTGAGAAAGCATAGAAGCACCTGTGCCAGACAGACGGCCAGCGGGTGCTGAGCCCCCCCTGCACCTGTAATAGACAAAGCTATTGTGCGATGGATGAGAGCCTTTCTCGCTCTAAGCCTACAGAGGTCAGTTCTCAATAACAGCCGCAAAAATGGGACCAGACAGTGTCCGGGAGCACTGCCAGGAAGTGCTGGTTGCTTTCAGTGACTGCATTGCCGACACTGCCAGGCGGCCCACTTGCTTGGGTTTTAGTAGCTCAGTCAGTAAGAGCAGCCCTTGTGATTCAGAGTGATACTTGGTTGCATTGAATCCACAGTAATCTGCTCTTCCATGATTTCTTAAGGTCGGCTAACCTTAAGAAGTAGATTAATATTTTAAAATGTTAACTTTTCCATATCAGCTTGAATGTTGGCAAAGCATAAACACCTCCACTGCTAAATTTACCTTCTAACTGAAAACGACCAAGAACCCCAATTTCTGCAAGTCTTATGATCTAGGAACTTGTTGCCAGTGCCCTCTTGTCCAGCAACCAGAGATCAGGAGGTAAAAATGGAGACTGCCAGCACTTTTTGCTTCTGGATCTTAAAATAGCAACATTGAAAATTCTGAATGTGAAACTAGTGTTGTCCATTCAAATGTCCGATGACCAACAAGTGTTAAGCGGTACATGCTGAACCAGCCCGTCCTTCTAGGAAATGATTGCTCTGGAGGAGGAACACGGTAATCCTGTTCTTTGTTAAAGGACTGGTACTTTTCAACTGTGATGAGATAGAATGATGAATGGCCACTATGTGTGGGTTGAGGTTGAGAGTTAAATAATTGGCATTAATATTGTATAAAAAGGATTCGTTGGTGAAGTAGTCCTGATAAGAATTTGTATTGATTATTTTTTTAATGCCATACATTCAGATTTGCCAAGATAATCAAGGTAACAAACTTTCTGTTCTCCAGATAAAATTGTGAGGAAAGCTGGCAGTCTGACAGATGCGTATGTGTACGAAGTAGGCCCCGGGCCAGGGGGAATCACCAGATCCATTCTCAATGCCGGCATCGCTGAGCTTCTGGTGGTGGAGAAGGACAGTCGCTTCCTTCCTGGACTGCAGGTGAGATACGTAGTCTCTTTCTAAAAACCCAATTGAAATCTTTAGGCCAAGACTTAAGCCCCACCGTCCCGAGGATTCGATCGGTTACAGTCCCCAGGCTCCATCCCAGAGTTTGTATCCGTTGTTCGGAGGCCGAGAAGGCTGCATTTCTAACGCATCCTCACGTGGTCCATTGACCAGGATCGAATGAACCTGCTATTATTAAAACACGAAACAAACTTCTCTGTCACCTTTTTAAAAATCTGATATCTGCGGGCGTTACGGCCCATCCCTGGAAAAATAAATACGGATAAGTAATGGTAAAAATGACTCAGCATGACTTCTGAGAGCTTCATTTAGTTCAGAAAATTATTCCTACAAGCAGAAGATGGAGAAGACATTGGCTTAACTGAGAGACTAATAGTTACGCTTAGGCATTCATAGAAGAGCATTTGTAAAGTGAAGGTATGGAGTAGTACCACTTTGTGAATAGATTCAAGATGAGGTGTGAATGAAGTGATACGTGCATCTTCAAAACAGTTGGTACTGTGATTGCATGAATTACTTAAAGGAACTGGGCACTTTTCAGCTAGACAAGAGAAGCCTTGAGTGAGGGAATTCAAAGCTGCCTATCAAGGTTGGCAGGGAGAGGATAAACTTGTTTTGATCTTTTCAAGGAAAGAATTAAAACAAATAGGTGGGAAGTGAAGAAAGCAGGTGCAGATTTAAAATTAAAAGGGACAGCCCGGGCCAGATACCTCGGTTGGAGCATTGTCCCGTGTACCAAAAAAGGTCGCAGGTTCAATTCCTGCTCAGGGCACATACCTAGGTTGTATATTCCATCCCTGGTCAGGTATTTTCTCTCTCCCTCTCCCTGGCCCCCTCCTGCATCTCTCTGTCCCTTCCTATCTCTCTAAAAATCAGTAGAGACATATTCTCAGGTGAGAATTAAAAAAAATAGTAAGAAGAAGGGACATACATTTTAAAAACGTTGACAAACAGTGATCTTTTTTAAAAAATATTTTTTACAGAGAGGAAGGGAGAGGGATAGAGAGTTAGAAACATCGATGAGAAAGAAACATCAATCAGCTGCCTCCTGCACACCGCAACTGGGGATGTGCCTGAAACCAAGGTACATGGAATGGAACCTGGGACCCTTCAGTCCGCAGGCTGACGCTCTATCCAATGAGCCAATCATGTTAGGGCTAGTGATCAGGACACTTAATGACTGAAGGGCCTTTGATTCCCCCAAACTAAAACTTTAAAGAGCCTTTAGCAATTTATTAAAGGTGAGTCCAATAGAATAGTCAAATTATCTGCATGATTATTTTCATACCAGTGGAACAGTTGGTTTTAAATTAGCGCACTCTGATACTTCTGTGTATGTGTATCGGTGGGAAAATATTTAATTTCTGCCAGAACACTCTGAGAAAATTTATTTGAAAATCTAGGGCTGTATTTGCATGCATCTGATTTTTAAAAGAAACTTGGTGATTTTTTTTCTTACTGTTTTGCTATATCCCAATGTTTACTTGGATCTAATTTTGCCAGTCTTTATTGACAGAATTGGTTTCAGACTTATAAGTTTATTTGTGAATATTATGTGGTACATACTCCTTGATCAGATGTGGAATTTAATATTGAATTTTTGCTTTGAGCTGCTTTCTTATTTTAAGAACTGTATCTCAATTGGAAGTAGAAGTGGGGATATTATTTTGGGTGAGATCATAAGATGAGAAAAAGAAACTGAACAGCACTACATAATTCTCTCAGGCTTAACCATTTAGCCCTTTTTGGACATAGGGAATACTCCTCTGATATTTGGCTCTTAAAGAGACTTCTTAACCCTCAATCTCACCCAATATTACATGCAGTTCTTTCTCATTGGGCAGGGAGGTGAATCACATTTCTGTCCGTCCCCATCTTAATTCACATATTCTCTCCGATTTCAACTAAAGATCTTCGAAGACAGGCTTTAAAAAACAACTGCACCCTTTTTATCTCAGCTGTGCTCCCCACAAGTCCCCGCACTCCTAACCCACCTTGCTTTATTGTCTCATTAGCTTTGCCGTCATCTGACATTATCTCTGTGTTCTTAAGTGTTTGTTGTTTCTTGCTGCATCTCTACCATATGTGAGTGAGTGCCCGGCACATAGCAGGTGCTCAGTAATGCCTCACTCAGGAAATAAAAAGGTTGACTATCTGTGTATATATCCGATTAACTGACTAAGTGTGTCATTTAACAGTGAAAGTGAATAATTGTGTAGCATTCATTATCAAAAAGTTTTGTGCCCTTTTTCTAAATATAAGTAGGTTAATTTCAAGGTAAATTACTTTGCAAAAAATGTATATTTGACTTACATGTTGCTGTAGAAGAAGCATGATTCTTGGTACCCTGTGTGCAGGAAGGGAGTTTGCCTTAAAAAGAAATGTTGGATACTAAAATATCAAATAGACTTCTTTTTCCTGTAAAGAATGTTTCAATATGTAAAACCACTTTCCTTTAGAAGTACTAAATTAATCATAAAACCGAGTACAGGCAGGAGGAGAGCGATCTATTTTAAGGATTCCATTTTAGTGACTTCTAAGCTAATAGAATTACTTTTTAAAGAAATTGTAATAATTTATAAAATGTCTTCTAGTTGAAAGTATGTCATTTGTAGCTTAATTCAATTCTTATAATATTATCAAGAGGCAGCTTAGAGGAAAGAACATGGTGATTATGTAGGTCTCAGTATCCACATGTTGTAAAGGAGGAAAACATCTCTAATCTGTGAAAGCATTATAGGACAGTTTTATGGTGAAGAACTCAGACTCGCGTGTCAGACTCTCTGGGTTCAACTTCAGGCTCTACCATTTACTAGTTGTGTGACCTTGGTGGGTACCTATCTCTCTGTCACTTTGCCCATAGGATTGTTGTGAGAATTAAATGAATACTTCATATTTCGTAAGCAATTAGCGCAAATTTTCATATAATTAATCAATTAAATGATTAACCTCATGCTTTATACACCCCTGTTAATTAAGGATTGATCAGGAGGTGCTGATCTGGAAAGAGGTATAGGAGAAAAGTCATGTTATTTCTTTGGACTAAAAAGATCCTCAGTGCTGTGTAAACAGTGGGGCTTAGAATTTCTCCTACATTTTCTTCCAGGTTATTATATAGCTACAGCGCTTTGTTTGGTATTTTATTGCTTTATTGAAGGTGTGTGGTATATGTCTTGACATATCCCAGTGTATCTTTAAGTGTTAGCATACAAACCTACAGTAGTCTACTTGCTTCTCTCCTTTGAATGCTCATTGTCATACTTCCCCATATGTTACACAGTTCACCATACAATGTGATTTTTCTTTCAAAAGTCAATTCTGGTTAAAGAGATTACTATTCTGTGTGTATTTCCATCTAGTATCATTTCCCTATTACTAGAAAGATTTTCTTTAGTATTTCATATAGTGTAAATCTGTTTGAAATATATCTTTCAGCATTTATATGTCTGAAAAGTGTTTTGTTTTGTCTTCATTTTTTGAAACACATCCTGGCAGCATCTGTTCACTACTCGTAAGGTTTTGTTCCCCTGTCTTCATATGTTGCTTCTAACAAGAAATCTGTCATCTTTATCTTTGCTCCTCTGACTTTTTTCCTCTGGCCTTTATATTTTTCTCTTTATCTCGGTTTTGAGCAGTTTCATCATGATGTGCCTTGGTGTCATTTTCTTCATGTTTCTTGTTCGTGGGGTTCGTTGAGCTTCTTGGATCTGCAGGTTTTCCTGTGCTCTGATGTCCAATGTCTGCATATTGTTGTTTCAAGTGTTTTGGTTTATTTAAGGCAAAAGAGTGTGTCTGCTCCCTTACAGCCCCTCTTGTCCAGGGTAAGCAGCTCCTTTAAATTAAAGGCTTATTTTGTGGAATTCTGGAAATAGGAAGGCAGTGGTCATTGTTCGTATTATCTCTGGGTTTTATAACAGGTAAACCGAGTGATTATTTCTACTCGATAGACAAAGTGGAAAGTTCACAGAATGGAGACTCAAATAGGCTGGTGTTCAGATCTCAGGTGTATCACTAGCTTTGTGACCTCGAGCTTATTGTTGAACCTTTTTTAGCTTCAGCTTTTTCATCTGGGAATAATAGTTACCTTGGGTGGTTAATGCAAAAATAGACAGGAATTTATGTAAAGAGCCTGGTATATATTGCAGTAGCCAATCAGTGGTTGCTGTTATAATTACTCCCCTTCTCGTCATCTTATACAGGGACATAAAATATAATATAGTCATCCCGGCAGAAGGAGCTGTTTTTAATCAGAAATGATAAAATGTTGAAATTCTTTTATCCCTAGCAAACTTTTAAAAGGGAAGACTGCTTGACGTTCTGCTATGCAATGATTATATATTTTGTACATGTAACTTACTGTACTATGTAGCTATAACCATATTAATCATAACGTAGACAAAAACAACAAGTAAACAAAAGATAGCTTACAGCAGAGTGATTTCCTGGTCCACTGCGCCTCAGGTTAAAGGTATAGAGGTCAGTGCTCGAAGCAGACCCTCTGACAGCAGCAAGAAGTAACAGTTATTACTGTGGCAGAACAGCTATAAAAAGCAAATATAAAAACGGGGGGGAAAGCACAGTCATAAGGGTCATAACCATTGAGGCCATTACTCTACAGGCAGAAATGAAGAAGCCATCAAGAAAAGGGTGAAACTGGGTTCATTGTACTTGCCTTAAAGAAGAGAATTGTGCAATACAGTTTATAAAGATTTCCATATATGTCTTTTAAAAAAATATTAACACTTAAAGGAGTAAACGTTCGTTGAATAGAAAATGTAGTAAGTCAAACATCTAATTCCTTCATGAGGCTGAGTAAATGAGTTTCTACTATATGTATTCTGGTCCTGTTTAAAAAGCAAAGCAAGCTGACCTTTGGAAATCATGCTGTAATCTTCACCCTCAAAAAGTCTATTGTAACGTCTTGAATTTGTTTTTAAATGACGTTTGTCTTTTCTATGTATTCTATATAAGAA